CCACAAAATGTTGCGCCATTTCTCTTTAGGCCAGTCAATGTGCTCTTTGGCAAATTGTAACCTCTTCAGCACATGTCTTTTTTTCAACAGTGGGACTTTGCGGGGGCTTCTTGCAGATAGCTTGGCTTCACATAGGCGTCTTCTAATTGTAACAGTACTCACAGGTAACTTTAGACCTTCTTGGATCTTCCTGGAGCTGATTCTTGGCCGAGTCCTTGCCATTTTGGCTATTCTTCTATCCATTAGAATGGTAGTTTTTCGCTTTCTTCCACGTTTTCAGGTTTTGGTTGCCATTTTTAACGCATTTGCGATCATTTTAGCTGAGCAGCCTATCATTTTCTGCACATCTTTATATGTTTTCCCCTCTCCAATCAACTTTTTAATCAAGGTACGCTGTTCTTCTGAATCATGTCTGGAATGACCCATTTTCCTCAGAATTTCATGTAACCAGCATGTACAACATTTGCTGCCTTCCTTCCTTATATAAGGGCAATAATTGCCATCTGTTTTCAAAGAATGAATTACCTCACTAATAGAACTCCACACTGCTATTATTTTGAACATGTCATGACTGTTGGGTCTGTTGGATTTCTATTACTCTACTACACCTGCTAGTAAATTATTTGCCATGTAGAAATATAATTTCTACCAAAAACAGTGATTGATCAGGTTAGTGATGTCTGACTGCTATTATTTTGAACACAACTGTATATTTATTAATAATAAAAATCAATGCAAAATGATAATGAAATAGAATAGGTTATGATAAATAATCAACAATCAAAATAACAGTACAATGGTCTAATCCAAAATAATGGTTAGAAATTCTAGTCAACAATTACTTTCAAATATTAATGAATTAGAACCAACTGTCTGGAAATGCAGTGTAAGAAACTATCAGTAACTCAGCAACATGTGACAACAGCTATGCATTGACCACATGATCTCTCTACAACCAGATATTCAAACCTCAATGAGTACCTTGGCATGAATTGATCTGGAATACACACACACACACACACACACACACACACACACACATATATATGTATTTCCAAAACTGAGCTTCTAGTATTCCCCCCAGCCCATGCCCCCCCCCTCTGATTTCTCCATCAAGATCAACAACACTACCATCAGTCCCACCCCTCACACCAGGGTACTAGGTGTAATCTTAGAATCCAATCTGTCCTTTCAGCCCCAGGTCCAATCACTGACAAACTCATGTAGACTTCACCTCCGCAACATCTCCAAGATACGACCGTTCCTAACCTCGGAAACCACTAAGCAATTCATCCACTCCCTTATTATATCTCGCCTTGACTACTGTAACTCCCTCCACACTGGCCTACCTCATCGCAGGCTATCCCCACTCCAGTCCATCATGAATGCTGCTGCCAGACTCATTCACCTTACTAACCGCTCTGTATCTTCCACCCCTCTCTGCCAATCCCTCCACTGGCTTCCAATTGCCCAACTGATAAAATTCAAAACACTAAACCTGATGTATAAAGCCGTTCATAACACTGCCCCTAATTACATCACCGACCTTGTCTCTAAATACCACCCAAACCGTACTCTCTGCTCCTCGCAAGACCTCCTACTCTCTAGCTTCCTTGTCTCCTCCTCCCATACTCGTCTCCAGGATTTCTCAAGGGCTTCACCCATCCTCTGGAACTCCCTACCCCAAGCTATCAGGCCATCGCCTACTCTGTTCACTTTTAGGCGCACTCTGAAAACCCATCTTTTCAGGGAAGTCTACCCCGACCCCAGCTAATATTAGAATCGCCTACTCCTCCTACCACTCCATCCCCCACAGCTAATTACCTCTTGTACCACTACCCCCTCCCTCCTAGATTGTAAGCTCCATGGAGAAGGGCCCTCTAATTCCTTTTGTATTGAACTGTATTGTTACTGTACTGTCTCCCTCCATAATGTAGCGTAAAGCGGTGAGCAAACTGTTGGCGCTATATAAGTCCTGTTGTCAAGGCTCCCGGGTGTGACCAGAGGTGTGTGACTGACGCAGGGAAATGCAGACTTCAGATATGTTATAAACAATGTAATTTATTAACACTAACAATACAAACAAAAACGCAGTGCAATACTAAAACATAACACAGTGCAAACAAACCAAACCAAACCACCCACAGATAACAGTACATACAATGCAAGCGTCGTCAGGCAGGCCGGGTCAATATCAATCGGGTAGGTAGGTACAGGGGGAGCAAGCGGAGAATGGTCGGGGTCACAAGCCAGGTTCAGCAGGTAGCGGGCAGCGTGGTACAGAGGGTCAGGCAGAGGAGAATGGTCAGACAAACCAGGGATCAGGAGCAGGAGAATGGTCAGACAAGCCAGGGATCAGAGCAGGGTCAGCAGAGAATCAGACAGGAACAGGAAACAGGGCCCAGGAGAAACACAACACCAAGGCAGAGTCTGCAGGTCTGAATGTCCCTTAAATACACCAGTATAATTAGTTCCAGGTGTTTGACTGGCTGCAAGGTTGAGTCTCTGATTGCTGGGAGCACCCGCTGGCCAGCCCTGGTACTGCAGCTCATAAGGCAGGTGAGTCCCACTATTGCTGGCCAGTCCATTCCTGACACCTGTATAATAATTATATATATATATATATATATATATATATATATATATATATCTCCAGCTAAACCAATGACTAGAAGCTAAAATTAGCTTCAGGGATATTTAAAATGGAATTTCCCCAGAGGATTGAAATGAAAATAAAAGTTATAGTTACCAATATGGAATCAATGGTGTCGATAATGTCAGCTTTCAGTCAGTTCACTTCAAGGTGTATCTATGTCTGTTGTCCTTTGTCTCCTGTCTTGTCTTGTGATGTCCTGCCTTTTTGGTGATGTGTCCCTGTCTCTATTCATCTCCTACTTTTATTTCCCCCAAAAACCTAGGCGGGCAAAGCTTATCTTCACCTAAACATGAGGTCAGACTAGGTGTCATTTTCTCGACTAATCGATTTAAATTACCTGAAGGGGGTAGTATAGGATTAGGAATGATTTTCGGTTTCTCTGACATTTATTCTGTGTCAGGTAAAAGGCTGACCTTTATCCTTGGTGAGTAAGAATATCACTAAATTAAGAGATAACTGCTTTTCTGACAGGTTTGGTTTCAGACAAACTGATACCCATGTCACTGCAAATGATGAAGTGATTCTAAAGAAGAAAAAAATATATACCTATACATCCTACAAAAAGATGAGGTCATTTTACTGAGACTTTTTATCTCACATCTTCTGTAACATAACAATGTTGTAATACAATGAACTCAAACTAATTCTTCATAATGTTAAAGTATAATATCTACAATATACTGTACCAATATGTATTAATTGGTAAAACCAATTGATATATACTATATATATATATATATATATATATATATATATATATATATTTATTTATGTGTATGTGAAATTGAATATAGTGATATAAAACCTGAATTACTTAAGTAAGCAAGTATTCACTTCACATAATACTAATGATAATACAATTGACATTTTTGGTTAAAATCTTTCTGTCAAATAATAATAACACCACCTGAAATGTAAAGTTTAATATGCACTGCTTTTCCAGAGGTTCATGAAAAAAAAATCATTCTGAATAGTTCTTTTGTTCTTTGTTCAATCTAGACATGGGCTCATCCATTTACTTACAACTTGGCATAATCTCTAGTCTTTATCTTGTAGCTGCCTGACACCACCATACCTCCCTCCAAATTTATAACCTGGGAACATAAGCTGTAACGAATTTGGAGTGCTCTTAGAATCTGTGTTCAGAAACCATGCAAATAAAATATATAGAACAAAATGGCTTCCAGCATGCCCATGTAGAGATTATAAATTCAGGTCTTCCAGTTTAATTCTGTGAGCCCAGAACAGTTCCGACACAACACCCTAACAGTAGGGCTCCATCTTCTAAAAGACTGCAACATAGTTCTGGAGGATCCGCCCTCATCAGGCATCTTTTCGTCATCAGTCCAGATCTTCTTGGGAGTGAAACAAGGTTACAAAGAAGAGCTATTCCAATAAGCATCAAAAGTTAGGTACTTTTACTTGATTATCTCACCATACTTCAGGCTGTCTACTGTGGATATGCAGGTTTCTTTTATCTTCTGCAGACAAGCTTAAGTTCTTTCCTGTTTGTTTCTGCAGTTAAGCCGCACTCAGTTCATTTCTGAACCTTCATTACTACAGTGAGTTCATATTGGCTGTCCTTTTTAGTTCATCCATGTTTAAGTTCTTTGTTGCTCCATTATTTTCAAGGCACCATGTCTCATTTATCTTACTCTTTTCAGCAAGTTGTCTATAGTCTCCAACAAGACACGTATAATACAATCTCTCAATGTTTTCAAAACATCCCATCTCTCTATGTATAAGATATGAAAGGAGTTTGGCCTAAACCACTTGCATTTTCACCCAAATGTCCCTAAGTTGATGTTAGTAAATGCCATTGGTTTAAACCACCCAGCCAAATGCCTCTCACTTTGAAAGGAAGTCACGAAATCAAAGGCCGACATTGTAATTGTTCAGGAGACACACTTCAAGGCATCAGCAGCTCTGACGTGTCAACATGAAGACTTCCTGTAATGGAAGCATAGGCAGGACAGAGCACACGGGGAGGATGGGGAACACACAAAACTTTATTGAAGCAACAAATTGACAGATACTCAATAGGGAAATGGCAGGGAGGGTGATGTGCGCGCAAACCAGGGACGATTCCAGGCACGGGGGGGGGGGGTCTTCAGCGACAGGCAGGCAATCTCTCCCCCTAGGCTTGGGGCCTCAGCCGAGCTCCCTCCGTGACTGGACAGCGGATTGGAGACTCGGGCAACAGGTGGCAACCTACCACTGGGCAGGGGCCTCGGGCAACAGGCGGAAACCTACCACTGGGCAGGGGCCTCGGGCAACAGACAGCAACCTACCACTGGGCAGGAGACTCGGGCAACAGATGGCAACCTACCACTGGGCAGGGGCTTCGGGCAACAGACGGCAACCTACCACTGGGCAGGGGCCTCTGGGACTCAAGGGGACTCTAGCTGTGGAGACTGGCCACAGCACAGCTCCCACCCAGCTTTCTAGGGTTATTGGGTTCACAGGGACTCAACGGGTAGCGATGGCTCAAGCAATCAGGGGCACCACAGGTAGCTATACTCCGGGCATGCTATCAGGACACGGGTGGCCAGTGCACACACAGCAGGGTGGTTCGGAACACGGGTGGTCGGTGCACACAACAGGAACAGTTCAGGACACGGGTGGTCAGTGCACACAGCGGGGACAGTTCAGGACACGGGTGGTCAGTGCGCACAACAGGAACAGTTCAGGACACGGGGTGGTCAGTGCGCACAACAGGAACAGTTCAGGACACGGGTGGTCGGGTGCGCACAACAGGGACAGTTAAGGGCACGGGTGGTCGGTGCACACAGCGGGGACAGTTCAGGACACAGGTGGCCAGTGCGCACAACAGGGACGGTTCAGGACACAGGTGGTCGGTGCACACAGCGGGAACAGTTCAGGACACAGGTGATCGGTGCACACAGCGGGAACAGTTCAGGAGACAGGTGGTTGGTGCACACAGCGGGGACAATTCAGGACACAGATGGCCAGTGCGCACAACAGGGACAGTTCAGGACACGGGTGGTCAGTGCGCACAACAGGGACAGTTCAGGACATGAGTGGTCAGTGCACACAGCGGGGACAGTTCAGGACACTCACGGTAACCAGCTTGCAGACCCTCAGCGGCAGGCGGCTCCAGACAGGGACGACCAGCGGTCAGCGTTCCAGGGACAACCAGCGATCAGCAGACAGCAGCAGCTCCCAGGGCCTCAGCAGCAGACAGCCTACAGGGACATGCAGCCACGGATAGTATGCAGGCTCCCTCAGCAGCAGCTCCCAGGGCACTCAGCAGCAGACGGGTGCAAGGGTGCCCAGTAGACAGGCTTACGGACTGGCAGGGTCTCAGCTGTGGGGTCTGACGTTTGAGGAGAAGGCTCATGCAGAGCTGTGGAGACTCCCAACCCCGAGGTATTGCAGAGGGCTACAGTCCTGACCTTTTGGGGGTCTGCAGAGTGCATAGGGGGGATGGCTGGGGAGGCTCAGTCCCCCTCACCCGAGCCTCCCAACATCTTTCTGGGAGCAAGAAGATTCTAGCCGCATGGCCAGGAACAAAAAGGGGAAGGCTGCTTCCTGTGTGGGTCTCTTGAAGATCATGTGGGACGCGGCTAGGTTGCCTCGGCAATGGCTGGCCCAGCCCTGTCCATGGAAGCCCCACAGACCTTCTAATGTACAAGGGGGAAGGGAGGGGTGGAGGGATATGGCGGGGGATGGGAGAGGCACTGGCAGTCCGTGACACTTCCCTTTTATATTTTTGCCTGAATACGCCTCTAAAAAGAGAGGGGTACTTATAGCTATTAAGAACTCAGTATCCTTCAAGCTTCATTCCTCTGTCATAGACAAGGGTGACTGAAAGCACAGAGTCAAATCCAAAATATTATTCCTCTTCCATCCCACCACTGAATAGAAACTAACTAACCCTAAACACATAGCAGATGCGTTTTCAAACTATTACGGATCACTCTACAATCTTAGAGGCAACCCCTTCATCCCACAACCCTTGACTACTGTGATTTCTTCATTTCTGGACAATCTTAACCTACCTTCCCTAACTCCCTCAGACAACTTGAACTGCTCCTTTTCTACCTTGTAAATACAAAGAGTAATCAAATCCATGCAGTGTGGAAAATCTCCCGGCCCAGATGGGTTTACTAATTAATATTATTAATCATTCAGTTTCCTTTTACTTCCAAAGTTAGTTACAATGGTTAATACTACTGCCAATAAGGCTACCTTTCCCCAGATATGCTGAGGGTGCATATTGTTACACTTCCCAAACCAGGAAAAATACCTGATAGCCTTGTATGCTAAAATTTTAGAGCAGAGACTGAAAGATGTACTGCCCTACTTGATACAACCTGACAAAACAGGATTTGTATCTGGTAGCCAAACATCTATGTACTTAATATAGCCCACTTTGCAGATTTGCAGAAAGAAGTTGAACGCTTTCTCTGATGCTCTCTATAGATGTGGAAAAGGCATTCGACATATTGGGGTTATATGACAATTGTATTGCACAAGTTTGGCCCCCAGGGCACAATCTTATCAGCCATTCTGGGATTGCATTCCTCCCCATCAGCCCAGGTTTATACTGCAAGTTTATTGTCTAAACCCTTTTATCATATCAAATGGAACAAGACAGGTGTGTACACTCTCCCCAACAATTTTCAACTTGATGATCGAACCTCTGGCATCCCCAAGTAACACATTTTATTTTCAGAGACAGACCCCGCATCATTAATTTGTTTGCAGATTATATCATTCTGATGTTAACTAATCATCAAACGTCACTTCCCCAGGCGCATTAACTCCTCACAGAATTCAGTCAGCCATCACATTACAAAGTTAACCATACTAATTCCCTGATTTTGGATTTAGGCATCCCCAATCCTATTACCTTAAAGCTAAGAGATGACGTGCCCTACCCCTGGCCTGATAGAGGTATACCTTAGCTTGATATTACAATTAACCCTACATGTATCTCCCTAGTTGATGTTAATTACCATTACTAGTCAAACTAGAGAATGAATTGAAGAAACTGGCTCAAGTCGAATTAACATGGGTCAGGAGGGTGGCAGCTTACAAGATGCTAATCCTTCCCCAATTCCTCTATTTATTCAGATCCCTTCATATTCCCCTAACAAACAAATATAAAGGCTCTTTCTTCTCTCCTGAGAGGCTTTATTTGGAAAGTTAAAAGGGCTCGCTGTTCCCACACTTCTCTAATGAAACATAGATGGTGGGTGGAATGGGAATGGTAGATTTACAAGATTACTACACTGCAGTACATTTAGATCAGCTAAAACATTGGTTCAACTGATCAGCTGAACCGTTATGGCTTGATATTGAAAAGGGTATTAACAAAACATCTAATCTTTGTATTCTACTCTGACTTCTGGAAGCTACTAGACTTAACTCCCACAGTTACACACTCCTCCACATAGCATACACTATATCGCATCTATCATTTTCTCAGTCTTTCCACCACTCCTCATCAGTTTGCTTCCCAAAATCTGGCAATACTTCATAAATGCCTTAAAATATTTAAAGAAGACATCACTTATGTCTAATATTTAAAGAAGACATCACTTATGTATACACACTACAGAAAAATATTCAATAAATCAAAGTCAATGATCCAATAGCAATCAGATCTACAATCTTCCTTTTCTGACATCCAGTGGCACCAGGCCATTCACTATACCCATTTTTTCTAGCACTGTGTAAATCATTGTGAATTGGCATTAAAAAAAAACATCTCTTAGATGGTACCTTACTCCTTGAAGACTGGCTAAAATGTTAAACACACATGTTCTTCACTATGTTGGCATGGTTGTGGTGCCTCGGGTAGTATTATGTACATTTTGTAGTCTTGCAACAACATTTGAAGATTCTGGCGGAAATGTTTTCAATTACTTTCAGAGATTACTGGTATAATAACTCCTCTAGATCCTGCACTGGCCTCACTAAATCTAGAAATTGAAGGATTTCCTGTATCTTATTGAAGTATAGTAGCTAACATTTTATTGTCTGCTAAATTGACAATCATGAGACGTTGGAAACAAAACCTAGCCCCAATCCATAAGAGGTTGTAAATGTTACCCATAAACATTATTTATATGAAAAATCATTGGCCTTGCAATTTAAATCCTTCTGCACCTTTGAGTCTGTTTGTAAACCGTGGACTTCATGGTACTCTGCCTAGGATCCTAGGAACTTTTAGAACTTCAGAATAATGTATGTGCCTTGCAGTTGCATTGCATTTCTACTGTTGATGTTGATCTTTACAGTTACTCATTGATCTCTATTCTTTGTATGACAGTGGTGTCTATTATTGCGTGTTATTACTTTAAAATGTGATCACTTCTTGTATTATCTTATCTTTCACTACTACTCTCATTAAGTTGAGTGTCTGCATCCATGATCTTGCCTGTGCTTGTTTATGTTGCATAAACCAATCAAAAAATATTGATTTAAAAAAAACAAAAAAAAAGAGAAAATTATTTTCAACTTTATATAGTGATTGCATATTCAAAATAGTGTTCTATAGTTTAAAAAGGAGGATTGATAGATAGTGGTGTTGTATTTAAAAATGTTTGCCTTGAAAGTAAAGGAAAGAAATCATTGAATGTTAGATTTCTAGAAAATGGCTGCCATGTTGGAAGGGGTTTTGTTTCAGTGTCTGGCTTCACTGTTTCTTTCATCCTGCGAGTGTACACTTTCTCTCCCTTTCCTTGAGAACACAAACAGGGGTAGATGTACTAAAAACAAATAGGTGATTAAGTTTGCAAGGAAATTTCTACCAGAGCTTAGTGAATGTAGTGAAATTTTACTTTGTAAAGCATACCAAATCACATGCAAGGAAACTTACACATGATTGGATGATGGAAGCCAGCAGAGCTTCACCCTAATGATGAAGCTATCACTTGTAAGTTTTTTAACGTGTTGCAGGCTCCTGGACAGCATTGCCCACTGGTAAGTGCACAGGGTTTAGCTAGCATGGACAAGGAGGTCATTAGGATAAAGTAACTTTACTACAATAGTAATATACAGCAAACTGTGGGTAGTGTTTCTGTGGCATTCATTTAGAACACCACACAAATACACAGCTGCAGTAGGTGCCAATAGACTTACAACACAGTGCACCACGATGCAAGCACTATGCAATGTGGTGCTTTGCATAAAAAAAAACACAGGTCTGTTTTTTTTTTTTTCCATTGTCAAGCAGCCCATTCTTGATGAAATGGCTGTTTTAATGCAACACCTGTCAATATGTATATAATATCATACTGCAGTGGAACTGCATACTGTGGGGCCCCAATATTTTGTTGTGCACTGCTTGTAAGCAGGTGCTTCCAAAGGGTTTAATTTTTTTTTTCTATGCTGATTCTTTTTTATTGCAGCTATCTGGGTCAAGCTGGCTGTTTTGCAACTAAAACAGTTACAGTGTTTATCTACACTGTGTCCCTAGGATGACCTGCTACATGGATGGATCTGAGAGGAAGAGTTAATGTTACTGACCACGTTTTCCCAGAAAAATTCTGAAGTCCACCGGCCCCTGTAGTTCATTCCATATAAATAGTGGCTCTTCTGTGCCCCAGAGAGCTCTTGCTAAATCACTGAAAAGATGTACGCTGTTACTCTGCTGGTGTCACAAATGAGTTTACTGGATGGTGGCACTGTGGCTCCCAGACTTGTAGGCTGTAGTTCCGATATCCTCCAGTGGGTGTCTCTTAGCAGCCAACAGCTCTTGCTAATTAGTCATAACCTGATTGCTGGAAGGATATTTAACTCTTCTTCTTCTACTCCTCTAGCCTTGGTGTTTTGCCCATATGCCCCTGATCTGTGTACCTGTACTCTGTTCCTGTACTCTGATCCTGTTCCTGATCCTCTGCTTGCCTACTTGTTCCTGCATACCCTCTCCCTTCCTGGCTTCCTCCCTGCTTCCTCTGCCTGGTCTCCCATGCATGACCCTGGCTATTCTAGCCATATCCTCCTGACTGTTTATAGTTATTTGTTGGCTTAGGTAGGTAGTTTGTTCACTGCTGGCACTTTCACTCATTAGATTCACTGATTTTGGTTCATGGGGTTTTGGTATACTGGATGTGTTTAAATTGTTTGTTATTTACTTTATCTTTAATGAATCACATTATTTATATTATACTTCTGCCTGGAGCTCTCCTAAAGTGTATTCCATAGTGTAGTAACATTTAAAATACCAATGTATTTAAAATTGCACTTATAATTTAAAACAGCATACTATGCATTCAAATGAGCGGGGGCCGTGGCTCCCACATCACTTCTGGTAGCTGTAACCTCTGACTTCTGGCTCTGCCTAGACGTGTGTCGTCATGTCTGGTGACTTCCTCTGTAGGACGTCCTACTGAGGAAGTCATGTGACGTGATGACACATGCCTAGGCGAAGCCAGAAGTCAGAGGTTACAGCTACCAGAAGTAATGTGGGAGTCACGGCTCCGCTCATTTCAATGCATAGTATGTTGTTTTAAATTATAAGTGCAATTTTAAATACATTGGTATTTTAAATGTTACTACACTATGGAATACTTCTGTTTCTTGCAAACATAACGCAGAAGAAAGAGGGAGATCGTGATCTTTTAAAGGGCCAGACCACAATATATGGAGACATATTCATCTTACATAAAGAGAGACCTAGAAGCACCAGTACACAATGGTGAGCTGAGGTGGAAACATTTAAAAAGCTCCATTGATGGAAAAGTCACACGTAGACCTGAAAGCTACAGGTCTAATTTGGAGGTGAGCACAGTGGTGAACAGGTGGTGGGCATCACAACGCACAGATTTTTTTGATCATCATCATAGGTGTTGAATAAAGACAGCACAGTCACATCTTAAGATGTTTATATTGCTGATCACATGAAGTAATATATATGTATTTATGTTTACTGTTTGCATGAGAGAATGTTGTATTGTATTTATAATATAAAGTATTGAGTTATTTGGAAAGGTACAACAATCATTTTATATTTGTAAAAAAAAGTCACCATGCCTCTTAAATACCTCAGATTGTCTGTTTTCCAAAAAGGGGTCATTTGGGGGGTATATGTACTGTCTGGCTGGCATTTTAAGGGCCTCAAGAAATGGGATCAGTAGATCAGTCAGTACATCAGAAATGATCAATTTTCAAATATGTATACCATAGTTCGTAGACACTATCTTTTACACAAACCAATAATATACACTTTGTTTTAACCAGAGACGTAGCAGAATACTTTTTGGCCTAAATGTATGAAGAATTTAGATTTTTTAAAGGATATGTTTTATAACAGAAAGTAGAAAATATCTTTTTTTTTTTTTTTTAATTTTGTTTATATAATAAAATATAAAAAAATACTAACAAAATAAAGCTGTGTTTCTTCTTGAGGTCAAGTGATCAATGGAATCCTGCCTATAAAAGACTATGGACACGCTGCTACTCAAGTATGATTACCCAATGGGCACTTAGGAAACCTCTGAACAGGGATGTACAGGTATGTGAAGTTGTTACAAGAAAAATTGTTCCTGTATGTTTTGCACTACTTCAGTAAAGACTGTTTGTTGTTCCTTTAAATTCCTGGTCTGAAGTGTCTCAAAGGGGTACATGGAGTATATATAAAGAACAGGACTTATATCAAGGGACTGTAGGTTAGAGTAGGTTAGAGTAGATACAGTACATTTTAGTCCAACATGCAGTTTGTTGTCTAGTATAGGTCGTATGGGTGTTTCTAGGGACAGACATGTATGTATCATTGCTAAAGGCAACCGACCAGCCAGGGAATGGGTGACTGGCAAAGGGTGCTGATTTCTTTGGTATTGAAAGGTTTTTTATGCTTGGCCCCTTCACTATCAACTAGTTCCTCCACATACTGGGACTGGAGCTGCAGCAAAGCATACCTAGGGAACCAACCTGGAAGTCAGGAAAGAGAGAGAGGTGTAGTCGGGCCCCTGGAAGAGAACAAGCATGCAATTGTGAGTGAAATGTGTTCCCTCTTTCCAGTAGCAACAGTTGAACATGTCACTGGAAAATAAGTGACAGGATTTTCTGGGTTTGTGGATGCTGCTAAAGGACCTGGTTCTTAAATGCTGCACACTTGGGAAGTGGTGTTCTCTAACTGTAGTGGTGTCTAAAGTGCTTAGTGTTAGCAGTACAAGTTAGTCATGGATTACTAGAGGGTTAGTTGTTGCTTCCTTCTAAATCTGGAGTTGTGTCTTAAATGCAAACTCCAACCTACTGTTTAGGCAATTAGCAAGTGTAGTTCTTAGTGTCCCCACTAGGGTGCCTTAAGCTCTACCCACATGTTGGCCATGCTATGAGGGGTCTATTGGAACTCGAAGTGGAGGCTTCCCAAAATGGTTTGAATAATGTGCTCTCTGTATGTTTTTAGAAACTTCCAGATTAAAAAAATCTCAGCTGATATTATGTTTGAGATTTTAGCAAATATATTTTAAAGAAGTTAGATACTTTGATTGTTATCATTATGCAATATAATATAAACACAGATTAAACCACCTCATGATTGATTTTGGTTTAAAGGATAAGGAAATATTCAAACAGCATTTTCTGAACATTTTCTGATCTGTCTGCTACCCCTTAGAAGTCTCTACTGTGCATGCAGAGGAATTGGGGCCAAGATCCAGCATTTAGTTGCAGTGCTGCTGATCCGCTCTTACTTCCATCACTCCCTGCACATAGCAGCAAACAGCTGCCAACACAGGAAGTTTCCAATTATTATTAACTTATTTGTGACTTTCTTCAGTAGATCATGTGACATGTTGGAGCTACAAATAAGATATTAGTGAAGGGAGACTTCCTGCACTGGGAGCTAATTACTGATATCCATAAAGATCAGTAACACCGTCAATATATATATAAGGTCCACTGGGTAGTGTAGACTCTTTGAGATAGTCCAACATGGTGCAAAAGCAGTAGAGGCAGAAAGATAATATTATTGTGCTGCTACTATGCCTGCAAGGTAGCATCCACATTTAAAAGTAGACCAGCACCATTATGAGCAACCATAGCCAGTGGGAAGTGCATCCAATGTTCTCCCCTGAAGCAAGTGAGTCTGTGTTGCAATAGGCTATTTCATTTTCACTTCTGACACCACGAACTTATACCACCAACCAGGGGTGGACTGACAACTTATGGAGCCCCCGGGCAAAAGGGGATCATGGGGCCCGTGTCCTTGCCCAAACTCAAAAAAAGCCTATGAAAAAGGTACCAGGGGTATCTCATGGGGCCCCCTACTGACCCCGGGCCTTCGGGCAGTGCCCGAGTTTCCAAGTGGTCAGTCCGCCCCTGCCACCAACCCCTGGTCCCAACCCAGCCTCTGCTGCGGGCAGGGAGGACTTCATCTGGAGTTACTGTACAAGAGAAAGATCCCTACCCCTGCAACCACCCCCTTGTTCCCCCCTTGTCATCACAAATTGTATCCAGCCATGATCACCTCAAATAATCACTGGCTGTACTAACAGCAATGAATAGCTGTGACCGCTAATAGCCTGTCATTGCAGTGTTTGGGCTTGATGGCTGCAGCTTTCCATTTACAGATGTCAAACTCAACAGCAGGAATCGGTAGATGTGCTGTGATTTTTACAGTGGCCAAATGGCATGTGAATGCAATCCTAGACAGTGATATTTATATATTTGCTGGTTAGTTGGTAAGTATGCTAGGAAATACATTTTGCTTAGTTTGTATGTTCTCACTGTATTTTTTGTGTATTTCCCACTCATGTTCCAGTTTCTTTTCACAACTTAAAAACAATGTGACACATATTTGTTTCAACCTAAACTGGTTAGGTGTGTATAGGACATCTATTTATAAATCCTTCTGGGGTAGGGACTGATATACAGTAAGTGGTCTATATTGATGTACAATCTAAATAACAACCCACTCTATTCTTGCACATTTGCTCATATATTTATGCTTCTACCCTACTTAGCTCCATTTGAAGTATACAGACTATGAGCTCGAAATTCAAAGAAAAAAATAAATGTATGTAAGTTTTATCAAGCTGTAGGGAATCAACGCATTTTATAACAGTTCAGGAAGCACCTTGCTGTTTTCATACTTGTTTTTGCTTTTGGGAAACAGATGACTGCAGGGAGAAGTCAAATAATAAACAATAATATATTGTAAAACAAGACAGAAAGACACGGTAAAAGTATAATAATTACTTTTTACAGAAAGAGAACAACTGCTTTCTTTAGAAGCTGACTTGCATTAAAAAACCCAATTCTTTTTTGCAACATTGAATTTTGTCTGTGGGGGTTTTAATTTATCCAGGTCAGGATATAGCTAGCAATAGTTAGTCACATTCATCTGGACTTGTTCTGTGATGTTGAAGATGCTTCACTACTCATCCGTGACTCCTCAGTTCAAAGAACTGTCAGAAGCATACCCCAGTATTTAAAATATAATCACATGCACAACTCTTTCCCCATCCTCACAATCACTGTGGTGTCATGCAATATTTCAAGACAAATGTTGTTTGTCAAAGAACATGACAGAAGGTGTGAAATTTAAGGTGTGTACTGAAAGACTACCAAACTGGACCAACCATCAATGAGCTAAAGGAGGGGCATTTAACATCACCAGACACCCTAAGATTGTGTTATAGTAGAACTATAGGCTTACGGGTTATAACCCCTTTTATTTTTTTTTTTCGCCATCTGTGTCCCATTGCAGAGATTTGCTTCCCTTCTTGTCCCATAGCCAAACAGTAAGTGAGAGGAAATCCATGTAAATGAAGTAAATTCATTGGGGATCCCCAGGTCACCAGAACTAAGGTGGCCATTGGAAGATTTCCCCTCTATTACATTTCTGGGGACTACCTACATTTTGGGATTTTTCTTTTACTTTCACTTTCATTTAAAATGGTAAATAGGACAAATAGAAAGGGTGAATCTCCCTAATGGGGTCATAGATAGCAATGAAAACTGATGGGCATTCTAATCTCTCTCCATTCTATCTAAATACTAATAGTAATAGTATTGCAAGGTTGAACCAATGAAGCCCCCATTGGAGAGACAATCCATAAATTGTAGTGCTGCGCTTTCAAAAGAGACATATATTGTAGAAGAAAGGTAATGTGTACACATAACGTGTAGTCCAGAGGAGGAAATTATTGCTGTATCAACCTCCCTCATGCACTAAATAGATAACTAAATGCATCTTGAAATGAGTAATTGCAGAGCCCAAGTAGAAGACAATGACTGATAGTAGTCCAGAGGAGGAAGCACGTTACGCTTGGATGTAATATGGTGTAAATTACTGCAAATATTCACCCCCCCTCTAGCACCCAAAAGGGTAGGGGTGCCATCCCAGGGAGGATTCGAATAGACATGACCTCTCTCATACATATAGAGAGTTAGTCTTCCAATAGCAACTGTGTGGGCAAATGAAAGGACCAGTCCCTTGAAACATGATACAGCATGGGTCCCTTAGAGCAAAGACAGTTCATAATGCAGGAGCTGGATCTGGTACAAATTGATACTTATCAGACTGAGGCGTGGGTCATCATTAGTAGATCTGGGGGTGTGGAAGCACTCTTCCTGTCCGGTTTCGTCAGTGTAGACCAGCTGTTTCAGAGGTAGGCTTCAAAATCATTTGGTTTGCTTAGGAAAATCAATCCCCTTAAAATGGCCACTATGTACCCACTGTGCATGCATAGAACATGATGACGCCACACGTAAACGTGCGTGCTGACCTCACGCGCATGCGCAGTAAGAAAATAGAAACCAAGTGCAAAGACAGCCCATTCCAATACTAAAAATGCCATCTAGTGGAGAGACAACCACATTACATATTCTAACAAATTTGTTAATGATCGTCCTAATTTGATCTATAGGAAGGCTCAATCCTTGGCAGATTTACTGGTTCATAGAGATATCAATTGGTCCCCCCAGAGGTTATTCTATACATCAGGTATGCATAAATGTGGAGGCTGTGATATCTGTCCATTTGTGACTGAGGGAGATAGTTTAGTTTTGCCAACGGGAAGGACCCTGAGGTGCTGTCAGAGAGCCCATTGTGGCACACTTCGAGTTGTATATGTCATTATGTGCACCTGTGGGTCTTTCTATGTGGGTAAGACTATTTGCACAATTTGCAAACGATTCCAGGACCATATTTATGAGATTTCTACATATCATCTCAAGTTTCCACTGGCAAGACATGTCTGTTTGAAACACAATAGTGATCCTAGATCTCTCCGATGCTGGGTTCTAGAGGTTGTCCCTCAGTATACAAGGGGGGGGGGAATTTTGACAAACTGGTGCTTCAACGTGAAGCAAGAAGGATTAGGGAGATTGAGGCCACAAATCTGCCTTGGCTTAATGAAAGTCTAAGCTTTGTTCCATTTTTGTTGATACGATTTTCTCCTCCAACTCAATATCTTTGGGTTTTTTTTTTTTCATTTATGATTAGGTTTTTCCACGGGTGTTATCATGTGGTTTATTTTGTACACGCAGTGATATTTTTGAAGTGTATTGCTAAGGCTGACGGGCTTTTTTTTGTCCATTTGAGCGACTTTCTTTATTTGTATTACATTTTAACCTCAAATTGGTTTGCTAGTAATGAATCTTTATTAAAATGCCTTAAGATGAAATTATTGCTGTTGACATTGTACATATACTGTATATAAAAGTGTAATATGGTTTTTGTCCACTAGATCACACCTTGAATATTTGAAGACTCTATATCCATTTATGTCAATATGTAATGTGGTTGTCTCTCCACTAGATGGCATTTTAGCATTGGAATGGCATATCTTTGTACTTGGTTCTATTTTTTATTAATGCACATGCGTGTGATGTCAGCACGCATGTTTACATGTGACATCATCACGTTCTGCGCAACATTGCTGTAAAATTCATAAAAGGTGGCCTGTATGCTGGGATTGGTGGCTTTTTTGTTGGTCGTGAGCAATGTAGGGTCTTGGAGGTACCTTCTGTTGATATGCCCTGAGCATATTTATTATATCAACCCTTAAAGTCACCATTCTCATGTTGGGCACTGTGTTGATTATAGTGAAGAACAATAGGGGGATAGATAGTAGTTGGGATCTCTCTCAAGTCTATTTTCCTCCATGAAGAACAGCAAGACATCTCCAAGATCCTCTTCAAATTGTATTTAGCACCTTGTAGCAGAATGCTGCATGGTGGGGCCTGTTAACACCGATTGTGATGGCCAGGTTAGTCATGGGTGAGTAAGAGAGGGTTGGATCTGTGATAGTTGGCTCTGCGAAGGCTTGGTCTGCAACAGTGGTGTGTGGCATGTGGAAAAAGAAAACTCTTCATCCAGGCTAACTTGGCTGCTCTCCAAAGACCTGCTGGACCCCAGGTCTTCCACCACTCCTTCACTAACCTATTCCCCCTCTGACATCATCAAGATTACTGATTATCTTTGAATATAAAGTATATGAAGTGACATATACTGTATGTGCAGTGCCAACATTCTATAGGAACATACAATGGTTACATTTGAAAAATAATCTGACTTTTTAGGCATTCCAACTCAAACACAACAGTTTAGTTAAAAATTCACATTAAACACGTGTGGATCTGGGCGTGTGGATCTTTTCCTATGTGAAAAGTCTTGGCATCTTTCCACATACAGTGATCTATCCATTATTGTCCAAACCTGGTGAGTCCTTGTGGGATGTCTTTCTCTTTTCTGATTACTATGGTGGAGGCAGCAGATGTACCGCTGAAAAGGTAGTTTTGATTACCGTTCTTGGTTGATATGTACTAAAATACTATGAACATTATTTACATCTAGCCCTCGAGAATATATTTTGAGAAGCTTTGGGCTATTTCCATACAAAAATGTAAGCTTTTGCTATGTTATTGTGAACTTGCATCATTTTGTGGGAATATGAGGGTATATTAGTAAATATTGACAAGACACACAAATATTTCAGCCAATAATTTTATACAAGTACTGTATATTTTAGTGTAAAAAGTAAAAAAAAAAAAAAAATGTGGCTTTTCAATTAAAATGTTGCATTTGAGACAGCATGCCTAAAACTCTAATTTCTTTCCTTTGAAAACATTATATCATCAAGATTACTGTCAATTCTGTGTAGAAAAATGGTTAAAATGTTATTGAAATCTTGACAGCTACAAAAAAAGATAAAATTAGGTCAATTGCAGTGGCTTGAAATATATGTAGGTGTACCTTCATGATGGTCCAACACCACTATATTTTCAGGTCTGCAGGTAAA